TGCATGGCCTAAGAGAAGCTTTGTGAGTGAAAGTTTATAGTTAATTAAGTGTGGAAAATGCTTATATTTTATTCTTCTTCTGGAGAATCTCAAGAAATAATAGCATATTAAAGGCTCCGAGATGCCTTGCAGTAAAAAAAACTATAATCTAGTTTAACCCAAAGTTTTCACATGTACTTAACAAAGAAATTCTTTCTTCACATAATATTTATAACCATCTCTTTAAATCAGTGTTCTGCAGAAAACACTCAGGAGAAATGAATCTACTGAAATTCCTCTTCCAAGTTGAGCATGTAATGTTTTGACAAGTCTTCTTTTTCTGCCAGCTCAACTCCCTGTTGTAGATGTGCTGTGAAATGTCAAGGCTGACAATAAAGTTCTTCTGACACTTAACTATTAAACCTAAGTTTTTCTTAGGCTTTTCTCATAACAGCACAACATTCTTTCTACTTCTCTCCGTCCTACAGTCACAGGTAACCATTTCCTGAAACTCCTATTCACAGTATTTCTTAGCTCCTCTTATAGAGCAGACCATATCTTCTGTACCATTCAAAGAAGTTTTGTTAACAAAGTTTTGTTAACTCTACTTTAAAGCTTATTGCCACTTAATTTGTCATGTGCTTATGCCTCCACAATCACATTGTAAGTTATTTAGTGTCTGAAACTGTGCACTGCACTTCCCTGCGTCCCTAAAGAAGCATGACAGTACATTGCTCATTCATTCACTCATTCATTCAACAAACATGCACTGAGCATCTTCCCCGTGACAGGCACTGTTCTAAGTGCTGGAGTATAGCAGTAAACATGACAATCAAGGTCATTAGTACTCCGGTGGAAATTCATTTGTATGGGGAAAGACAGATAAGTAAATATTCAAGTAGGTACATAACTCATGTCAGATAAGGGTAAGTGGTATGAAGCAGTAAGGGCATGTGAACGCAGAACGGAGGAGAGGCTGCTTGAGCTTGGAAAGGCCTCTCTGAAGAGGAAATATTTAAGCCTGGTTATGTGCCGGGTAAAGGCCAGGAGACTGGCTGAGTTTGCTAAATTAGAGGAAAAGCAGGAAGGCCACTGTGACTGTGGCAAACATGGTAAGTCAGGGGAGCAAGATGAGATCAATTCAGAGTGGGTGCTATGCACCACACTGTGGTAAGGAATTTGGACTTTAAGATGATACGGAAGCCACAGAATGTTTTAGACATGGGATTGAACTAAGCATGATTTTATACCTTTAAAAGACAACTCTGATTACAGGGTAGAAAATAAAATGTCAGGAGCCAAGGGAGCGGTCAGGCAGGCCAGTTAAAGGTTATTTTAGTAGGCAAGGCAAGATATGATGGTGATTTGGACACGTGATGGCAGGAGAGCAAAGGAAGTGGGCAGATTCTGGCTATACTTTGGCATGTGAGACAGTGGGACTTGCCAGCTGGAGTAAACAGATGAACAGAAATATTTCCTAGATGTAGATATTTACTAAATGCAGATATTTCCTAGGTAAAGGTTATCTGGGAGACTCATAAGCCTGGGAGAAAAAGTAGGGGACAGAATCAAAAGTTCTTTTTCACTGAGTTGAGGTTGGAAGTCTGTAAGATATCTAGGAATACATGTCAATTTAACCTGATTCTAGAGATCACAGGAAAGGGCAGGGATATA